AACACGCCTGTAGTGAGTTTTAAGCCATCGGGACCAGGACTCAAACTGCGGTCAGCTACATGGGAGTCCAGCGACATAGCCATCATGCTAACTGCTGGCCCCAGATGGTGTTCTTCCTTTGAGAAACAAAACCAATCAAAAGTTCCAGCCCCCGCCCAACTTTGACTATTACTAACTACAACTCTGTGTTTGCGAGCAGCCAGAAGCAATCACTATATCTGCTACTGTGGATTGGCTAGATGGGTTATGGTTCATTCATACCAGCAGAGGACTACCCTGCAGCTGGTTCTGAGAACTGTGGAGATTTCCAAGATTCATTACTAAGGGCAAAACAAAAGTACAGTCTATACACTGCACACTCATCTGTGTAACCGAGAAACGTGTGTACATCTCTGGGAGCCGGCAGCAGAGTTGCTTCCTGGAGGCAGACCAGAGGATTGAAGTACAGGGAAGCTTTATTTTTTGCTAAACACAGCTCATTTTGTTTTTTGGAAATGGATTGAAAATTTTACCGTGTGCTTATATCAGCAATAAATAAATAGGGTGAAACAAAGCACTGTAATCAAAAATTACTCCTTGGGTTGTTTTTACATTATTTGTTGAAGCAAAATTTGATTAAAGTAGTAATTGATGATGATTTGCTATTAGATGTTTTTAATATTTTGTGCCTTGCAAAATGTAAAACCTCATTTGACCAAGCCAAGTAAAGGGCAGTTTGGGGAGAAAACTGAGGGACGGAGTTCCAGGCAACTTTATGGATTGAATTGGGTAAGGTCCTACCTCCAGGCTCAGCCTTTGGGGTCAGACCAGCTGTACCTTCTCCAGCACTAGGGTCAGACCCTCATTCAGGATCTGATACATCCGAGGCACTTCTCAGTCCTGAATCATCAGGAAAAGGTTCAATGATATAAGACAGTCATTTCAGAAAGGTTTTTAGGGCCTTGGTTGGAAATAAATCTTGGAGGAGAATGACAGAAGCAAATTGGGGTTGGTTGATGGCAGGGAATGGGGGGGCAGGATATGAGGCTGGAGACTGCACATCTGTAGATGTTCAGAAGGTTCCATCAGGCACAGCTCTCAGTTCCTAGCATTCCCTTCTTCGTGGAGACTCAGCTGAAGTTCCCGAGTGCCTCTTCCCTCAAAGTTCCAGCTGTACTATTTTTGACCGGTCTCTATTTCAGTCTGGCGAGAAGTTCTCCAGGTCTCAGAGCGAGTTTGGCCTCTCCTCCCTCCTGAGGATGGTGTTCTTGTTAAAGCGGGGGACGCAGTGAACAAAGAGGCAGCCAGGAGTAGTGGAGCTTGAAAGACTTACATCTAACCAGCGATCCTTTTTTAAAGTAGAAATGACCTCAGAGTGAGCTAGCCATGCAGTTCCTCTCTTCTGGGCTCCAACTGTCCTCTTCATAAATCAGGTAGTCCCATTGTGATTAGAGCCTGCTATTTCTGACTGAGCCTGGGCACTCCTTGGGGTTGCTCACCCCATCCAGGAAGGGATAGTCTTTCTTCTCTGAGTCCTTTTCTTCTCTCTCTCTCTTTTAAAGTTTATTGCTTTCATGCGCTCAAGAGAACAATAAAGACGAACACCCTCAACAGTACAATAACCTTCCCAGCCAGCCAGAATCCTGGGCTCATGCAATTTCTGTCCTACTTTGTTATTGCATTGCCAACAGAAAGGCCTGAGACCAGGTGATTTATAAAGAAGTAGAATGTTATTGGCTCACGGTTATGGTGGCATATGGGTAGCCATACAGTGCTAATCTTTGAGGCTGGTCTACTGCCCCTGGGCCTTCCAGTTCTAGCAGTTCCGTCAAGATACGAAATACCATTGTATGCCTTTCTCTTGTTCATTTGTTTCTGTGAAATTGGGTAGGGACATTGGTTATATGTGCAAGAAGGCTGGCCAGAGACCCAGCTCACGAGCCACAGTTTCTCTGCAGAGAAGGCCAGGCTCTCTGTTTCAGGTATAAAACCAAGTCTGATCATAAGCAGGCAAAAAAATAACCACGATGTCACCTTAGGGATTATGAGTGTTCTTGCTGCCCCGAGCTTGCTGGTCTTTTAGCTTGTTACTCTCATGTGTTCAGCTCTGGGCTGTGTCCTCTCTCTTTGGGTGACCCTAGACTAGTTGCTTAAACGGACTTCGAAGACATCCCTGAAATGAGGGAACAGTAGTACACCTGGAGCCTAACTCTAAGTCTCCTCATTGGTGCAGTGGAAATGTTATTGGGACCTACTTCCTTGAGGTCTAAAGATGGGTTAATACACCAAGAAGTGGTCAGAGCTGTGCCTGGTGCATAGTGAGCATTCATTGTGTTACCTACTACTGTTCTCACTAGTATATGGTGTGTATGTATACACACACACTACATTTTTTTTCTTTTTTTGGAGAGGTTTTTGCTATAGGGTGCGTGTGCTTGCCAGAAAGACAGAAACAGAGAGACGGAAAGCGAGAAATCACCCCCCATGGGGATGGCCACACCACAATCCCTTCTCCTCCATTCTCCTCTCAGGATCTTGGGCACGCACGCACACGCGCCTGGCGTGAGTTTTTTAAGCCACCGGGTCCGGGACACAAACCGTGGTCGACTACATGGGAGTTCAGCGACATAGCCATTACACTAACTGCTGGTCCCCACACACTACATATTATAACCGACCCCATCCTCTGCATTTTAGAATGAATCTCTTAAGAAATGAAGAGTTCTTAGGCAAACTGTCTTTTTGGCAGGAGTCCCCTGACCTTAGTTTTTCTTGTTCTGATAAAACCACTAATAAGTGCATTGATGGGTACTATGAAAATTTATGAGTAGAGATTAAGAGTGATGGGGAGTTTTCAATGTCCCTGCATGGACCATGGGAAATGGATCACAGCAGGGTTGGAGGAGATAAAAGGGGAGGCAGAAACAATCTGACTTAAGGGGCAGTCAGATAAGAGACTGTTAAAGTAATTAATTGTCTATTTCAACACAGAAACAAGGGCCCTTTAAGTGGAGAAAGGATTTGCCACATGATACGGATCTGCTTTCTCTCTTGCCAGATGCTTCAGTCATGAAGCTATTGAAACAGGCATTCTGTGTCCACCGCCAGCAATTGCTGAGCTTCATCCGTAACTGGCTTTGGCACTGAAGAAAGCAAATGCGATAATTCAAGGCCTTTCCTTTTTTTTTTTGTCCCTTCTCGATTCATTTCTTAAAAACATAGCAGACAACCAGATTATTCTCTTGAAGCAAACGCTAGCTGTACACTTGTATGAATACAGCTGTCATTTCAGTGGCCTTGTGTAAGGCATACCTCCCTTACAGTCGTGACTAAGATAACCCAGATTTAGCCCTTTGACTCTGTATATCAAATATAATCTCTTCCCTGCCCGTCACCCAGCAGAAAGCTTGAACACTATGCTTTGACTTTTTAAAGGATTTTTGGACTCACTTTGCAAGTCTGATTTTGGACTCTCATCTCAGATTTGGAAATACATGTCCATGTAAGGAGGCCAGATTGCATGTCCTCTGGGGGCACATTGGGCGAGCTGTGTTTGGTTTGTGGGCTTCCTCTTTACTAAGAGATAATAATTCTGCAAATACAGATTTAGAACGTTTGAGCAGGAAAGGAGTAGATCTAGTCTGCAGAGGATTTTCATCCTGTGTGCAGAAGCCTGCGGATATGTTTGCTTTGCTGGAAGACACATCCAGAGACCTCCTCATCAGAGTCCAAACAGGCTGGAACCTCAAATGGATGAGAATCCCTGAGACAAGCTCCAATGTCAGTTTCCCGATGAGGCATTGAAATAATTGGCCCCAAGTGTCACAAGGCCCTCAAAACTCAATGGAAATGAGTGAGTCTCTGGCTCTTGTCCCATGCCTATTGCATTTTGGTAAGAGCAGAGTGCTGTGCCATGTCACAGGAGTGTGAAAGCATCCAGGGGGTGGGCTTTCTTCTCCTAGTCCTTTCTCTCTCTCTCTCTTAAAGTTTATTGCTTCCATGAGTGTGTGTGAGAGAGAATGACTAAGACAAACACCCTCAACAGTGCAGTAACCTTCCTAGCCAGCCAGGATCCTGGGCTTATGAGATTTCTGTCCTAGTTTGTTATTGCATTGCCAACAGAAATGCCAGCGACCAGGTGATTTATAAGGAAGTAGAGTGTTATTAGCCCACAGTTATGGTGGCTGGAAAGTTTGAAGGCTGTACAGAATGGTTGGGGGCAGAGCTTTGAGCAGAACAGAGTGTGGTCTGTATCCATATGGTCTCTCCCGCCTCATTTTCTCCTCTGATATACACACCAGAACTCCGTAGTGGTAGTAGAGGCCCCACCCTACTGACTTCATCACACCCCAAGGTCTCACCCTGGATGAATGGATTTTCACTTACCACTTTTACAATACAACCAAGTCCCAACGCATGACACTTTTGAGAGACACCCGCTCACCTGCCCACTAAGACCAAATTCTAAAACGTGAACGCTTAGGGGACAAAGCATTGTCTAAGCCAGAACAGCGGAGCACTAGACTATCTTCTATAGGGATCCAGCTTTGAGCAATGCGTTACTGTTGTACCTCTGAGCTGGCCCTCCAGGTCCTCTTCTGTTCCAGCCCACCCTAGGTGCTCTTTGTGCTGATCCTAAGGACACTTCTGTCCTGAACTGGAAACCTGCATCTTGACTTGTTCTCTCCAGTTGGCGTCGGTTAGTCTTGGTTTCTGAACTCAATAGGAAGCTGATGGGAGACAGGAGACATTTTTCCTTCGTATTTATTTCTACCCATGGGTATTTTTCCTTAGTATTTATTTCTACCCATCCCATGGGTGTGATAAATGGTTAGGTATTGTGACCTTTGGACTTCGCTCCCTTTAAAAATTCACTGTTAAATTCTTCATCGTTGATCCAGCATTGGAATATAGTCTTACTGTGGCTAACTCAACATTTTTATTTTTTAATTTCTCTTGTATGCATATGATTTCAAACGACTAATTTCAGTGCTTTATTGATGAATGTCTTCTTGTTGCAGGTACCTCAATAATAATGAGTTGACAGCCATACCGTCTCTGGGTGCCGCTTCATCACAGGTCATCTCTCTCTTTCTGTAAGTGATGCCATCTGGGGGTCCCTGGGTGTATTGTTACCTTGCTGACAGGGTGCTGATGAAGAATGGCCTTTCTTTATGTAACTGTAATGATCATCATACGCCATTTGCTGTTTTGGAGTTGGCTGAATTAAGAACTGAACGTTTTACTTTGTCTCTATTGAGGGGGAAATATGTGTTCTTTACATAGGTTTCTTGTTCTTAGTGTTTTATCTGTTAATTTGGCTGAATCAACTAGAGTTAAAGGAAGCTATGTGCATTTCAAGATGACAAGCTCATCTTTGTGCCAGTGAATTTGGGAATGTGACTTACTATACTTTTTTGGCTTTAAAAACAACAAAGAAAGTGGGGCCAACAGATGTCGTAGCAGTTCCATTGCTGGACTCTCACACGGCTGACTGCAGTTTGAGTCCTGGACCCAGTGGCTTGAAGAGGACGCCGGGTGTGTGCATGTGTGCCCAAGATCCCAGGAGGAGAATGGAGGAGAGGGGATTGGGCTGCGGCCATCCTCCCAGGAGGCGATTTCTCACTTTCCCTCTCACTGTGTCTGTCTCCCTCTCTCCAGCTAGCACATAACTCCCTAAGGCAAAAATCTCCATTAAAAAAAATACAAAGTAAGTGCCACTAGGCCTCTGAAATAAACATAAATGTAAGGAAGTAGTCGTCACGGTTATGTATTAGACAAAGTGCAACCTGTTTCTTATTATAGACAACACTTTGGGAGTAAAAAAATATACAAGAGCTTTAGCTGAAGAAGGAAGGAAGGAAGCCATAGGGATGTTCTCATTTGAACTGTTAGAAGCCATTGCCAGAGAATTAAGCACCTGGACTCACCCTATTTCTTCATCACTCATGGGGAGGTGCTTGCTAGTTTAAATTCACTCAGAGGTCTTTCCAGATAACCAGCTGTAATTCCAGCAGTTTTTTCAACCAGATTTTATTGGCAGTGTTCCCAGTAGAGTACCTCCCTCCTCACACTGAATTTCCTGCTTCCCCTCCAACCCGAGATAGTTTCCTTTTGTTTTGGTTTAGCTGGTTTTATAAGTCATTTGCTCACCTATATGTATCTTTTCTTGACATCAAGGCTCAACAGACTGAGCGAAGGGACTTAGCAGGAGGGTGCTATTAATAAATGGCTGGTGTAGCTTGCACATCTCAGATTTTTGCTGGCTGCAGGCCCTGTGTTCAGGAGCTGCTTGTCCTTGTGAAACTTGGTCCCCAACTTAACCCTTTTCAAGGCGTTGTGGGTTACAGGAGAGCTGGTGGTTAGCACTGTAGTTCTGGACACAACTTCATCTTTCTGTACCTCATTTTTCTCCTTTACAAAATAAGTTCCTCACCCATTTCATGTATGGAGAGGGTGAAGCCAAGGTGTGAGATGGGGAGGAACGTGAAAGAAACACCTGGTATTGTGCAGGGCATGGTATGGTGGGGGCGAATTTGGCAGTGGCGGCTACTTCTGGCTGGTGGCTTTGTCACAGCTCCTTGGACCTTGGCAGGATGTAGCCTTTGGGGAAATAGTATTTGCAAGTCAGTCCTTGTTCCTGTGAAGCACTGAGGTGAAGGGTAGAGCCCTGAGTTTTCTTGGTGGATAGGCACAGGTCTGACTTTGTATTTGTATCCCAGTTGACCTGTATGGCCAGCATACAGAAGGTGTTTAATTGCTGGCTAAATTAAATGAGTTAGCCTTATGGAGGCTCATTAGAGATGTGATAATCCCTTATGTGTTATAAAGCAACCTCCTTAAAGATGCTTATAACTGCTTGCTGCTTGAAAGCCCAGGTCATAGACCGGCAGGGTTGGTGTGGTATCAGCTCTAACGTTGTAAGAAATGCAGAATCTCAGGCCTCATTGCAGCCCCGCTGGGTCAGCAACTGCAGTTAAGAGGGTCCCTGGCCCTTTTCCCTGTCATTCAAGTTGGAGCAGTGCTGGGCTAATTCCTCTTATTCCTCACTTGGTCAAGTAGCCAGCACCACGGAGAGTGTAATGGCTCTTCAGAAAGTTTATGGAAAACATATCTTAGGAAAAAAGCAATGTGTGGATTTCAAAAATTTTACTCCAAACTAAACTCATACTTCTAATTCCATTTTCCCACAAACTTTCTGAGGTCTAATCAGATCGTGTTACCAGGGAAGCAGCAGAGGCTCCCCGAAGGTCTTCTGAGTTGTCAGAGTGAGAGGTGGCACTGAGACTGGACATACATGCTGTATACCACTCCTTTGCTGCCCCCCGCCGCCACTCAGTGCAGAGTAGGGCAGGTGGCTCTCAACTGCCTGGTGCCAGGGGCAGGCAGGGCCCCCAGCTTGCCCTGTGTGCCTGTGGTACTTTGAATCACGCCTAGCTCTGCTGCCTAAAAATACATTTCTGTTCCTTGGCCCAAGTGCCAGGAGCAGTGGGGCTGTTTGGCCTTGTTCCTGCTCTTCCATTAGACAGCGTTAAAATATGTAAAGCAGGAGAGAAAAAAAAAAAAAGATTCCCTCCCTGTTTTGATTCAGTTTGGAAAATGCAGGTTAGTGTTGGCAGCTGCCTCTTTGGCCTAAAACTGGTCTCCATTGGACTTGGTCAATGATTTCTCTGAAACGGCAGAAACTGAAGGGTCTTTCTCTTCATTTTCTCTGAGGTACCTGTGTTTGCTGCTCATAGACGGAGACCTGGGTTTAGTGCCTGTACGAGAGTTAGGTTAGCAATGCGATATAAGGGTAGCAGGACTGTAGGTAATTTTATCATCATCCTTCATGTCTTTCTGTTTTCCAAGTGGTCTCACAAAGGACAGGTGTAACATCAGACAGTGGATGATCATCACAGTTCAAATGAAGGGCTACCTGTCCCATCCTATGCTACAAAGGTGAAGGCCTGGCTGGGTGGCTGCAGAGTATGTTTTGCTAGTGTGACTGTAGCTTTGCTGAGCTATAGAACTAAAAGGTGTCGTGTGTTCCACAAACAGGCACCTTCCGTGCCCTTCTAGGTGTGCCCAGAGGTCATCTCAAGGTGATGATGCTTCATCTGAAAATGTGGTAGTCACTGGCTAGACACTTACAGTCCTTAATGTCCAAATACTTGTTTTTCTTTTTGTTTTGGAGAGACTTTTTAGCTATAGGGCGCGTGCGCTCACCAGAAAGACAGAGAGAGGCAGAGAGACAGAAAGCGAGAAATCACCCCCCAGAGGGGATGGCCACACCACAATCCCTTCTCCTCCATTCTCCTCCCAGGATCTTGGACACGCACGCACATGCATTTAGTGTGAGTTTAAGCCCCCGGGTCTGGGACTCAAACCGTGGTTGGCTACATGGGAGTTAAGTGACATAGCCATTACGTTAACTGCTGGTCCCAATACTTGTTTTTCTTTAGTGGGCAGACTGAGGATCAGAAGAACAGGCAAGCTGTAGACAGAGTTGAGCAGGTGTCTACAGAGGCCACGTGACTTCGAGGAGCAGGGGCAACACTCTTGGGACAGGTTTATAGGCAGGTGCATTAGAGAAAGCAGGGACCAGGCTGTGTCCATCTCTGCCTCTGATGTGGTTGTAACCTGCGTAAGTTGCTTTTTTCCCCTCATTTATTGAATAAGGGAGTTAAAACAGTTGGTCAGATATTCTTAGCAGTTTTCATATCCCTTCTGTGACCAGAAAATCCATAATAGGGGCAGCGATGTCACAGGAGACATGGTTACCTCTTTGTCCTGCAGTCAGATTGCTGCTTTATTATGTCTTTCCTGTTTTGTTTTGTTTTGTTTTGTTTTGTTTTGTTTTTCTTTTGGAGAGGTTTTTGCTACAGGGCATGTGCGCTTGCCAGAAAGACAGAGAGACAGAAAGCAAGAAATCACCCCCCAGGGGGGATGGCCACGCAACAATCCCTTCTCCTCCATTCTCCTCTCGGGATCTTGGACACGCACGCACACATGCCCGGTGTGAGTTTAAGCCACCGGGTCCGGGACTCGAACCACGGTCGGCTACATGGGAGTCCAGTGACATAGCCATTACACCAACTGCTGGTCCCAGTTGCAGTTGTTATGTCTTTGACCAGAAGTCACAGGTTTGTGATTTTCAGCTCAGACACCTGTAGTTGATGACTTTCTTCTCTGGAAGTTGATTGCTCTTGTGTGCCGTTTGCTCACATCAAAGTGCTCTGACCCCACACATGGGAGCCCTCCTGTCCTGGTGTCGTCATGGGGAAGGCCTCATGGAAAGAGGTTTGGTTTTGTGCCTGGCTTCCACATTGGGCCTTCAAAAGAGTGCTCCAGAGTTTGGGGAACTAGAGCCATTCAGCAGAATTTCAGTGGTTAATACTTTCCTATTAAAGGAATCTAATTCAATTAAAGTATTTGTCAAAGAACAGATTTATTTGCATCACACATTGAGAGTAATACCAAAGTCATTTGCCCTTAATAACAGAATGTATAAGACTAAAGGAAAGCTTGTAATAGGATCAGGGTAGAGGGAGGGAGCTAATTTTATAAAATAGTTCTCAGAAAAAGAAACAGACTTTAGTTAAATGAGGGCAGAATCTGCCAATAGATTTTTTACATTTGTGATTTTTTTTTTTAATTCAGACTCCAGGAAACTCATGTTACGATTCCCACAGCAGCAGTAATTTTGTCTTATGCATAAGCGACTTTTCTGTTAGAGAAATACTTCTGCTTTTCCTGTGGTGCTGGTGCACTTTTATTATTGAGAAGATTAGTTACAGTGGAGATGGGGTCATTTTTACAGTCTTGGAAGTCTAAGGGCTAGCTGTGTAATTGGCTTTAGCTCTTTGTCTCCTGCACGGGGACTGTCACTTATTTCCCAGATGGTCCAGCTCTGCCCCCCTCACTGCTTTTCCAGTCAGTAGTGTATGTTAGACCTTCTCCCTAACCATGCCTTGTCATTTGCTCTCTCCCAACCTGTGTCCTCAGTGGCATAGGCAATCTAGGCTGAAAGTAGGTGTGCCCAATTACTTGTGACTTTGTAACACCGCTATTAAAATCCTTAGGCTTATGTGATAATTCAAAAATGTAAAACTAA